AATGGTTTTCAACTTCAGCAAGCTCTTCCGATGATTGCTAATGTGGCCAGTGTACGTGGTAATGGTCCGTTGATCATTGCTGGCATCTCTTCGATCAAACATTTCTAGGAGTGTTGGCTGATAAAAGTGAGGAAACTGAGGTGCATCATACTGTTGTTGATGAGTGTAAGTCGTGAATCAGTGGTATTCATGCTCAAGCACATACTGCGTCTACGAGTTCTGATCGTTGGGTTGTTGATTCGAGAGCAACTCATTACATCACCCCTAATTCCACAAAGCTTGCTACTAGCTCAGATTATATTGGACCAGGTAAAGTGGTTGTTACTAATGGTCATAGTCTGAATATTGCTAGAGCTGGTAGTTCCGTTGTGTATGTTAACTCTTGAATGTTATTTCTTAATAATCTGTTGCATATGCCCTCAGTAATGAAAAATATTCTCTTTGTGTTAAAGTTTTCTAGAGATAACAGAGTTTGCTTTGAGTTTCATGGGGGTCTTACTTGGTTAAGGATGAAGAAACTAAAGAGGTGTTACTGAAGGGACAAGAGTGTGTTGGACTCTATCATTTTACTGCAGATGTTTGTTGTTTGAAAGCTTGTCATCTTACGGTGGTAGAAGTTCCTAGTAGTCCTAATAAAAACTATGATCTGTGGAACAAGAGTCTTGGGCCTCCTGCTCACTTTGTTCTTGTACAGACATGTAAACAAGCTGGTGTAATATTTCATTCTCAAAGTAATAAAACCGGTAGTTCATTTTGTGTTGCATGTCGCTTGGGTAAGAGTCATAAAATTCCATTAAGTAGTTCTATAATGGTGTATGCCAAACTATACATCTTGTGTTTAGTGATGTGTGGGAACTGTCTCATATAGCTTCCAATGGGTACATGTATTATGTGTCCTTTGTTGATGCCTGTACAAGGCACAACTAGGTTTACTTATTTAAAGCTAAAGATAAAGTGCTTTCAACATTTCAGCTACTTTTTATCCTGGTTCAAACTCAATTTAATATAATAGTAAAAGAGGTTCAGAGTGATTGGGGAGGTGAGTATCGATCGGTTTTGGCATGTCTAAAATAATTGGGTATATTTCATCGTTTGGCTTGCCTACACACATATGAGCATAATGGTGTCGTTGAGCACAAACACAAACACATTATTGAGCTAGCTCTAGTTATGATGGCCCAAGCATCTTTTTCATTCAAATTTGGTCTTTTACAGTGTCTAATGTTGTGCACCTTATTAATCGTCTGCCTACTCGTGTTCTTCGGGGTAGGTCATTGTTTGAGGCATTGTATGCTAAGAAGTCGGATTATGGGTATTTTAAAGTTTTTGGGTGTTGTTGATTTCCGCATCTACGACCTTATCAAGCTCACAAGCTGAGCTATCATTCTTCTCTTTGTGTGTTTCTATGATATAGCTCTCAAAACAAGGGTTACCAATGCATGGCTTCGGATAGACGCGACATGTGATTTTTGATGAAGAATTTTTTTCCTTTTACAGCGTTGATTGGAAAAATTGGGTGTAGTTGCACTCCACATCGACATGGCATGGAAATCTCTGTAGTTGATGTTGCTCATCGGGTTTGCATGGAAGGAGATAGTTCACGTCATGATAATATTGTGTTGTCAAGTACAAATGAGACAACCTTTAATTCTTTTAATAATATGAATCCAACTAGAGAATTTGTTCATGGGTCAGACTATATTATGCCTATGCCTCTGGTTTCAGAAAATAATGGTGAAGATAGTATTGTGCAGCAGGGTACTGAAATTTCTGGAAATGCATCAGTAGTCTACTTCCTAGGGATGTTGTAGACACAAGAAATAATGATGAGGTAGGGATCGATCATAATGGTGCTTCAAAACCAGTGACAAGTCACCACATGGTGACACGTAACATGAATGGAATATTTAAACCCAAAGTTTAATTTTCCATGCACGATAGATGTGAAGTTGAGTCCATGCACGAGGACAGTGAAGTTGAACCTTTGAGTGTTAGTGAAGCTTTCAAGTATCCATTGTGGAAGGTTGTTGTTCTTGCTGAATATGAAGCTCTTGTCAAGAACAATACTTGGACACTTATTCCTCTTTCAAAAGACAGGTCTGTGGTAGGATGTAAATGGTTATTTCGAGTTAAGCGTAATGCAAATGGCTCGGTTCAAAGGCATAATGCTAGACTTGTAGCCAAGGGGTTTTCGCAAGTTCCTGGTCAGGATTTTCAGGATACTTTAAGTCTTGTTGTAAAGTCTCTACGATGAATGTAGTGTTGAAGATAGTTGCTCGTAATGGTTGGAACTTGAGGCAGATCGATGTTAATAATGTGTTCCTGATTGGTGACTTACATGAAGATGTGTTCATGGAACGACCTAAAGGCTTTGAGAAGCAGGCTGTAGATGGGAAAGTTTTGGTCTGCAAGTTACAAAAAACCTTGTAGGGGCTGAGGCAAACACTGAGGAATTGGTACTCCAAGCTGAGAGACTATCTTGTGAGTATAGGATTTCGAAGTTCTCAGGCAGATAGTTCTTTGTTAATCAATCACGGTGAGTGTAGTAGTACATATGTTCTAGCATATGTTGATGACAATATTGTCACGGGGAATGAAAATGAGGATATTGAGGAGGTTGTAAAGTTGTTGGGAGAGAAGTTTTATCTCAAAGATTTAGGCATGCTCAATATTTTTCTTGGCATTGAAGTAAAGTATGTTAATGGTGTCGTTTTTCTTATCCAAAAGAAGTACATAATGGAGCTTCTGGCCAAGTCAAGAATGAGTAAGACTGCGACAACCCCGACGCCTATTGTTTCATCAGTTAAGCTTACTATAACTAAAGCAGGCAGTCCGTTAACAAATGCAAAGGAATATCATAGTCTGGTTGGTTCTTTGCTCTATGCGTGTCATACGAGATCAGATATATCGTATTATGTAAACAAGTTAGCTCATTTTATGCATACACCATGTGAACAACATCTGACAACAGTTAAACGAGTGCTGAGATATCTCAGTGTTACTCTTGATTATGGGCTAGTGTTTCTTCCGCGGACGGAGTCACTCCAGCTTATGGCATTTACTGATGCTCACTAGGGGGTAACATCAATGATAGACTGTCGATATCTGGAACGTGTACGTTTCTTGGTTGTAGTTTGGTGCAGTGGAACTCGAAGAAGTAGAAAATGGTGTCTCGGTCTACCACAGAGGCTGACAAAGGCTTTAACAAAGGACTACTTTGCTCGATTTCGGCAGAAGCTCGGGTTTTCTTGTTTGATGAGGTTGAGAGAAGAAAGAGTAGGGAGAATATTGAAGTATTCTAGAATCTGATGTGCATTTAGTATTGAAGTATTCTGGTATCTGATGTGCATTTAGTATTGAAGTATTCTGGTATCTGATGTGCATTTAGATGAGATTTTTCTAGAAGTTGTTGTGTGTCTAGAAGTAGTTACACGGTTATACCAGTTCATTGTATTCTGGTATGTTGATGTAAGCTGGTGTTTATTGTGCCTTTGTATATAAAGAGTGTACTTGACCTTTTATAAAAACATAATGCATTTCTTTACTCTTTGTATATTTTATCTGCTTTTCTAATATAACATTATTAATTTTAATCTTTTGTACAACTTGAGGGTGATATAGGATTCTTTCTTTTGTATAAGGTTGTTTGTTTCTTGGATGGTTGATGTTAATGTATTTTTTATTTTATTTTCGGCTAAATAGATTGCATTTATCCACACATAAAAATCAATATTACATGCAATCAAACTAAAATAAATATATGATTGCTATCTAGACAGAATAAAAGACACTAACATAAAAAAGTAGTATGAAATATATTTATATAAGATTGTGATGTATTGACATGATCCAAAATTTGGTTTTTATCATTGAATATGGTTTAAGAATTTTGGATGATGAATCTAATCTTTAATGTAAATAAATTATTATTTCCGGACAAGTCATCTTAAAAATGTGTTATAAAATTAAATAAAGAAAACAATAAAAATAACAACAAAAAGAAGATATATGAGAATAAATTAAAAATTGTATTATCTTTTTAATATGAATTGTGTATAATATTTTCTCTAAACTCTATACTTATAAAAATAAAGAGTAAATATACTTTATTATTTAAATTTCTGTGTTCATTAAGATTTTTATATCCTATTAAGTTTCACTTAATACATAGTATTATAGTAATAGTTATTTACATAAAAATTTATAATAAAAATGATATATATTTGTTGTATTTTAATTTATGCTTTATATAATTGATCAGGATTTGTTATATGCAAATTCTGAAATTATTTGAAAAATATATTAATGAAATGGTATTTTAACAATAGTCGAGGTACCAACTCTAGTTAATATGAAAATTGTAAACGTAATATGACTGTGTTGAAGGCAACACTTTATCCTGTTTTTGCAGTATATAAATCAGTCACTAACCTTTAAATGAATATACTTGTATGATTTTAATTCGTAAAAGAAGAAAATAAACTTTCTTTTAAATGTTGAAAGGACAAAGAAGAGACATGTTGTCCTTTTCCTAAGATCCAAGTTCCTTTCCAGGATATGGTTGCAAATGGGCAGTGAAGCACCTTCACTAAAAGATTTAGAAGCAAAACCAAATTTCAATAATTGCTTAGCACCCAGCGTTATGTATGAAATCTTCTTGGTTGGTAGCTCCATGGTGGTGTTTGATTGATGCTTTTGGGACCCCTTCTTTTGGTTAAAAATGAAGCTTGTCTTTTTATTTTTGGAACTCAAGTTAAAAGTATAGCTTACCAAATTTAACCAGCCCTACCTAGTTTCAAGCTAGCCTGGCATTTCCACAACTTCAGAATTGCAGTCAAATTTAGTTTTTTTTTATCTTTTCTGCTTAAAAATGAAGTTTCTTTGGTGAACACTACAAGCTACAGTGAATTACATGGTATACACACCATTGAAAGAGGAATTTAATCTTAGTTGTTTCCCAATGCATTTGCAGATAAAAAGCAGAATTGGAAGACAATACGATCCCTTTGAGATTTAATGCCCTTTTCATTATTTTTACACATTCCTTCCCATTTCTCTCACGAGCAGTAGAGACAAAAGCTGTTGCAGTTTACCCTTTTGTCATTGATTCCCAGTTTCATTCCTCAAAACCACCTGTTCCAATGGATTAATTCAATGCAAGTTAAGATACATACAAAACTATTGAGAATATGATACATCAGTGCTAAAAAACAATGCCAGAATTTATGTACAAGTGAAAGAAAAGGTTACCTGCTGCATCTTTTGAACCTGCTTTTCCATATTTCAAGATCACAAATTTCTTCTGGAATGCTGATTGACCCTGCAAGAAGCACACAGTTGACAACAATGGAAGCAAAACTGGTTTCAAAGGAGGAGATAGTAAATAAATACCTTAAAATATGTACCCGAGAAGTCTTGCGAAAAGTCCAACAAATCCGCCGAAGCTTCTTTACTGCAATTTTTCTATACATACACCAACAACACCGATTATAAAAGAAAGGGACAGTAAGAATGTTGCGGTCATAATGTGCTCGAACTTGCCTTGGAAAAGCTTATTACAGGAGAGCTGGCAGTGTCATCTTCAAGACAAGAATGGTATTGATTGCTAGCATCTTCTTTGATTATCCTTTTGTTTTTGTTTCTTTTCTTAAACTTAGCTGGTTCAGGGGCTGCAGGAGGAGCCGAACAAAAGCTTCCATCCTCTTCATCTTCACCGTAATGTCCTGGACCAGATGAAGCTTCAGACACCATTGATAAGCCCTCTTCCTCATCAAAGCTCTTTTGATCCAAGTAGATGGTCCAACCGGATTCACAACTACTACCACATTGTGAAGCCGATGCATTCATTATATAAAATAAGTGTTTTATTGATTGTATAACAAAGATAGAAAAAAAATAATGAATTGGTATGAATGAATGAGAAGAAAAAAAGAATAAGGAAACTCTTTGCTTTTATCTCTGAGATTTTCACATACACGCAGAGCGTTGAGGTGTTTGTGTATATAAGCATAATTGAGAGGGATAAGACCAAACGAATCACACTCAAATCCTAGACTAATTTTGTCCTTTCTCCTTATTGGGGAAACCGGGTTATTTCCCACACGAACGTAGTTTCAAAATTGACCTAAAATGTCAAGATTAAAACCACCAAAGGTTGCACAACGGATAAACCTATCAAACTATTGAATATTGAAACACAATGGAAAAACCAAATAAAAAACAATAAAAGAGAGAACACACCAAATTTATAAGGTTCGACGAGAATATCGTCTACTCCTCGGGAACCACACCGGATGATAACTTCACTATCAACAAAATATTACAACAAATGGAATTATGTTGAATTATGTTTCGATATAACAAATTTAAAGGCAAAATGTTTTTGGACTTGAATTAAATTTATTCAAAGTTTTAAAAAAGGTTTCAAAAATAATTCAAAGTCCATCAAAGTGCATCCATGCACCTCTGCAGTGCATCCATGCACCCCTGTAGTGCATCCATGCACCTGCTACTTGTGCATCGATGCACCATGTAGTGCATCCATGCACTTCATTTCGAATGCAATTAGTGCATCGATGCACCCTACTGTGCATCCATGCACCCTGCTGTGCATCCATGCACCAAGGCTGTAATGGCTAGTAACGGCTAGTTTATTTGAATTTAATGAAGGGGTATCGAGGCACCTTGATAGTGCACCGATGCACCATGTTATGGGCAGCCTTTTTGAGTAGAAAAATCATCCCCAAACGGCTCGAAAACATCCCCAACGATTATATACGACATCAAACACATTCCAAGCTATAAATACAAGCTAAGGACACTTGAAGAAGTAAGAGAACAACTATCCAAGAAATCAAACACAAGAGAAGAGTTTTTCATTCTTATTTCATCTTTCTATTGTAAATATTTTGTTCTTGTGAGCTCAATCTTGTAAACACCTACCTTAGAGAGGTCTTCTTGTTTACATCTTTTATCCTTTTGTAAAGAGGTTTTAGTTCTAGCTAAGCCTTGTAAAGGCTAGGGGAAAGGTTCTTGTTTAGCCCGTGAAAAACTAGGGAGTTGTAAGGTTACTCTTTGTCCTCAAAAGAAAGAACAAATTAGTGAATTTGTTGGAAATCCTTGGTGAGGAGCTAAGGTAGTGGAAGTAGACTTTGTTTGAGAAAGTCGAACCACTATAAATCGCTGTGCAATTCTCTATCTTTTAATCTCCTTACTCCCTAAACACAAAACCATTCCGACCCCTCTTTGCAAACCGTTCCGGTTGTCGATTCGAGCTTCCGAAAATCCCAATAATTGGCATCAGAGCCTAACTCGTTAAGAAGGTTTTACCACCTTGAGACGATCCTCGAAGAAGCTCTACCAATTTCTGACTCAACCGATAAAGAAATTACTTTTTCCTTCGGTGCTTATTATCTTGAAGAATATCCTATTATTGATTCAAAACTGGTCAACAAGCCACCCTTCTTCAATGGAGAAAATTATGCACATTGGAAGAATAAGATGATGTACTTTATTCAATCCTACAATCTAGGAGCTTGGAACTCAATCATGGACGGTTACTCTTATCCACTTAGCATGTACAACGATTGGAGTAGAGAAGAGCAGAAAAAATTTCAGCTTAATTCTAAGGCTATACATATTCTATTATGTGCTTTAGGCCCAAATGAATATGGAAGAATCTCATCTTGTTCCAGTGCCAAAGAGATTTGGGATAAGCTCCAAGTCACTCATGAAGGAACCAACGAAGTGAGGGAATCAAAGAAAAGTCTTCTTAACCATAACTATGAGAACTTCAAGATGAAACCCGATGAAGACATCAAAGCTATGAAAAATAGATTTTCTATGATTGTCAACGGTCTCAAGGGATATGGAGAAGTAATCTCAAATGAGAAGCTTGTGAGGAAGATGATATACTCTCTTCCAAAGGAGTGGAAATCAAAGAAGATGACCATTATCGAAGCAAGAAACCTAAAGTCTCTCACTCTCGACGAGCTAATTGGTTCCCTTCTCACTCATGAGATGATGGTGAAGAAAGATGAAGAAAGGAAAGAGAAGAAAAACAAGAAGAATAAGAAAAATGAGGAGGTAGGCATTGTCTTCAAATCCACCAATGAAAGCTATCAAGATTCAAGTGATGAGGTGGATGAAGACAATGATGAACAAGAAGAAGAGATAGTCAAGCTCTTGAAGGAACTCAAGAGATTCATGATTTCCAATGAAGTGAAACATGAATCAACCAAGAAGAAGAGTCCCCCGATATGTTTCAATTGTCAAAGAAAGGGGCATGTCAAGTATGAATGACATCTTCTAAAGAAAAAGGGGAAGAAGGCATTTGTTGCATCTTGGAGTGATGAAGATGATTCCAATGATGAAGATGAAGTAGTTAACTTATGCCTCATGACCACTCAAGAAGAATTCGAGGTATCTTCTAACTCAAATGAATTTAATTAATTTACTTTTGATGAGTTACAAAATGCTTATATTAGGTTGTATTTGGGATTTGAGACCATGAATTCCAAATATAAGAAATTAATTTCAAAACACAAAATTAAAGATAATTTGATTTTGAAAGCAAAAGTTGATTCTGAAAATCAAAATGAAATTTTGAAAAATAATTGAGAGCTTTCATAAATCAAAATAAATGATTTAGAAAAAGAAAATTTTGAGTTAGGAGTTAAGCTTGAAAGCTTAATAAAAGAAAAATAATTAATTTCTAAAAACAACCTATTATGTTTAAATATGGCAAAATGCTCACATTGCCATTACCATGGTCATATGGAACATACTTGTCCTTTGAAGAAAGGAAAACGTTTTAAAATTAGACAAGTATGGGTTCCGAAAGGAACAAGGGGCATTGAAACTAACGTTCAAGGATCCAAAGCAATTTGGATACCAAAATCTACTTAAATGTCTCTTGTAGGTGTGTGGGATCAATAGTGATGAAAATGATGATATTAAAGATGCTCTAGCCACACATGAAAAGGAATGGGTAACCTCTAAGCTTAATATTTTTAATTTTAGTTATTTGGTTGCTCATAGGATTTATGCATGCATGAGTTTTGATTTTAAATGATTATGCATTGTTTTTAATCTCATGTATGTTAAAAAAATGGTTATGATGAACATTTTAAATTTTTAATGATTTTTTTTATTTTTAGTTCATCATAATAAAATTTTGGTCAAAATTGGTTTTAATGCAAATGATATCTCTCTAACAATTGATATCAATTTTTCAAAAATTTGATTTTACAAATTTTAAATTTTTGACCTAAATTTAAATGTTTATGCATGTGATTTAAATGAAAATGATATCTCTATAGCAATTGATATCAAAATTTTCTAATGCATAACATTTTTGGAAAACTTTATGCATATGCACTTAATTTCAATAATTAATATTGCATAAAGTATTTTAGACTTGGATATATTGAATTTCATGTACTACTAACATGTTTGTTATTCTTTGTTGGAATTCAATTTTGTTTAAGTGTCAAGTTCTTAAAGCTAAATTTTGTTTGGAATGCATTTATTGAGGGGGAGCTTTGATTTTTCGAATAAGTTTTAAAATGTCAAATTTACTACTTACTCTACAAAGTTATTTTGAACTTCAAAGATTGAATTATTTTTTATATAATAAAAAGGGGGAGAAGTTTGGTTTGAAAAATTCAATTTCTTAATGAAAAAGGTGGAGCTTAACATTCTCATATATTTTCAAACAATTTGGTAACAATTGATATCATTTTGTTAACAATTGGTATCTTTTTCATTAAACATTTTATTAAGGGGGAGTTTTGCCAAAAATAATTTTTCAAATGTTTTGTTATATCAAAAAGGGGGAGATTGTTGAATTATGTTTCGATATAACAAATTTAAAGGAAAAATGTTTTTGGACTTGAATTAAATTTATTCAAAATTTTAAAAAAGGTTTCAAAAATAATTCAAACTCCATTAAATTCGGATTTGAGAAAAAATGCTAAAGGGTGTCAAAGTGCATCCATGCATCCATGCATCCCTGCAGTGCATCCATGCACCCCTGCAGTGAATCCATGCACCTGCCACTAGTGCATCGATGCACCATGTAGTGCATCCATGCAATCCATTTCGAATGCAATTAGTGCATCGATGCACCCTGCTATGCATCCATGCACCAAGGCTGCAACGGCTAGTTTATTTGAATTTAATGAAGGGGTATCGATGCACCTTGATAGTACACCGATGCTCCATGTTATGGGAAGCCTTTTTGAGTATAAAAATCATTCCCAAATGACTCTAAAACATCCCCAATGGTTATATATGACATCAAACACATTCCAAGCTATAAATACAGGCTAAGGACACTTGAAGAAGTAAGAGAACAACTATCCAAGCAATCAAACACAAGAGAAGAGTTTTTAATTCTTATTTTATCTTTCTCTTGTAAATATTTTGTTCTTGTGAGCTCAATGTTGTAAACACCTACCTTAGAGAGGTCTTCTTGTTTACATCTTTTATCATTTTGTAAAGAGGTTTTGGTTCTAGCTAAGCCTTGTAAAGGCTAGGGGAAAGGTTCTTGTTTAGCCCGTGAAAAACTAGGGAGTTGTAAGGTTACTATTTGTCCTCAAAAGAAAGAACAAATTAGTGAATTTGTTGGAAATCCTTATTGAGGAGCTAAGGTAGTGGAAGTAGACTTTGTTTGAGAAAGTTGAACCACTATAAATCATTGTCCAATTCTATATCTTTCAATCTCCTTACTCCCTAAACACAAAACCGTTCCGACCCATCTTTGCAAACCGTTTCGGTTGTCGATTCGAGCTTCTGAAAATCCCAACAAATTCTTTAGAATTCCCAAAGTGAGAGAATGAAGAAAACAAATGGAAGAGAGAACTTGTTTTGGGATGATTTCAAATGGAAATACTTTGGCCTATTTATAGTTGAGTTTTAAGGATTAAACTTATAAATAACCTAATATTTTAGGGAT